CCACTCTGCGGGATGTTTTCACAAACCTCTCATTTTCTAGCAAACTTAATATGTGATGTAAGTCTCCAGGAAAGAACAGGAGTCAGAAATTGTGGCTATTCTGATCAGCAACGAAAGATGCATTTTCTTCTCTGAGTATAAGTATGTGAATGTATCTCCTGCATGTACTTATCTCAAATGCCATCATGATTTTAGATTCTTTGCTTAGTTACATGCAGACTTTTCATGTCTATAAATCATAAGACTTAAGGTCGTTGTGGTGGTGTTAAGATTCAAAATTTTTCAGTGGTGTCCAATCAAAAGCAAAAATGTAATACAATTCAAAACGAATAAAAAGTATTGAAAATCTGGATGGAAACTTAAGAGTTCCTGTCTCCAGCCACTGTTTCATTGCCATATGATTCTTCAGCACACATTATCTCCTCTCTGTCTCATCCCTAGCCTCCCCTTCCTCTTTTGGTTTGTTCTGCAATGGGAAATATACTGTTGGCTTTGTAGGTTGTTTTGATTAAGAGTAAAGATTTCCAAAGCACTAGAGATCCAGGTCCATTAAGAAGTGTAAAGTTCCTTACATTTTCTCAGAGTGTGATGTGCTGGTGAAAGAGATGGGTATTTTACCAAAGGAAATGGAAGGACTGGTGTTACAACGCATGTTGATTATATGGGGTTGGAAGGGAAAGGATACACAGTTTCCAAAGGAAAGGATACACAGATTATATGGGAAAGGATACACAGCTCTCAAGATTTTATTTTTATCTCTGGGAACTATATTGTGTGGAAACAAATGTTGGGTTTGTACAGAGTAACGCTGTGTGTGTAAGTGTTCTACTGCTCTGGAAATAGGTCATGGAATACTAGAACTCGAGAGATCCCTTGAGTGGGAATGGGGTTGTTTTAAACTTTGCCTATATTTTTGCACATTTTAGGGACAAAATTAGGTTTGGTGGGAGCCACTGAAGAAAGTTGTCTGTAACTATCAAATCCCATGAAGGGGCTGACAGTAACTCATGGGCAGCTGGACTATGCATAGGAAAAAACCCCATTACTTCAGTGGGCATTGGATTGGCCCCAACTCAGCATGTGTCCTGATTATTTGTTGACTTAGGCTTGTCTACCCAACCATGGCAGGAGTGATTGCAGCTCATGTGGACACGCTCATGCTAACTTTAATCTAGCTAGCACAGCTGCACATGGCGGTAAAGACGTGATCCATCAGGAGCTTTAGCACAGGCATTCAAGCACACCTAGCACCCTCCGTAGGTACTTGCCTCTCCAGCCCACACCAGGGCCCCGGCTATTGCATTGTCATGGATATTTTTAGCCCTAGTAGCTAAATTAAAGCCGTTGAAGAGATGCTACCCCAACTGCAATCACGCCTCTGACTGTAGTGCAGACATATCCTTAGTCTCATTGAAATCAAGGGCTCTTTTTATCCTTTTATTCTTTTTTTTTTATTTTAAAACCAGTTTCCTGTGAATAAATGTCTGAAACTCAGAAAAATCCCCCATGGATCTCATAATAAAAACTGAAAAAGAATCATACACTAAATACCCTCATGAAAAAGTAATATAGAACCGACTAGCCATGACACCAATGTATTCTATAGAAATTACCCAACCTCTGGTGATTAATATATTTGCTATGAAATTTGTTAACCATTCTCTAGAATTTAATAGAGAATCATATCCCTGCTGTAGAACTGTATTGCGAAGATTGAAAACTGTCCAGGGAAGCTACCCTTCCCCACAAACTGGTGTAGAAGCTTCCCGTAAGAGGAAGATAAACAAAATCAAAACTGGAAAGTGACAAGTAACTTCAAGAAACACAGAAGCAATAATATATCAAAACAGCCTTTCGACTGAATTTTTCTATTGGGTTGTAACTGCAATTCCCATTGGCTTGAATGACAGAATCATGCACTCATCCAAGGATAGAATTTAGCTCTTTATAAGGCCAGACTGAATCTCATGTGCCCAGGTCCATGTCAGATGAGATAAAAAACTCCCCAGCCCAAATTCTTCCTGCACTCAGACTGCTGCCGCCCAGCTGAAGCCAATGGACCTACGCTAGCAGAATTTATCCTTATAACTGGATTTTCTTTCCTAAGCAGATCTATAAAGCACCCCTTTTACGTAGTCATCCCAAATCTTTGGAAAGGTGTGATTTGGATCTGACTCCAGAAATTCTCTGACTTGTGCCCGTCTCCATAGTCTTCAATCTACTGAAGGACATATACATGGACTAGGTAATTAATATCAGAGATGTGCACCCAATCTGACACACGTTTCTTTCTTTTGTTCTTGCAGATTTGCCTACATTCTGCATTTACCGTTATTACGAATTGTATCACAGTAGTGTCCAGGCACCAAGTCGTGGACCAGCACCTGGTTGTGCTAGACACTATACAAACAGAGAAGAAGGCGGACCCTGTTCCCAAGAGATAACAGTGGAAGTATGGTTTGACATTCTGCGTAAGTACTACCAGACTAGGCTGCCACTAGCGCTGCGTAACACAGTAGGAAACCTAGCTCTGAAATGAGCAGAAGCGGAAGGTATGAGTCTGGACGTCAAGTATACTCCTGTGACTATCCAAGGAGGAGCCTAAGAATCCTCTCACCTTCCCTAAACAATCCCAAGTCAGCTGTACTCTTTGATTCAATAATGTTACATTTTAGCATTGACTCTATTATTCCCCAGGCTGCACCCCATTGGAATCTGACTTTAAAATAAAGTAGCCGAGTTCTACACACACAGAAAGCAGAATGAGTTTCCCTAGCAACAAAAACCATGGGAAAATTGAGAACCCGGCTGCTGCTTGCACGAGTTTCCATTCATTGCAGGGTGTTTTGTGCACGGGTTTGCCTGAGAAAACTGGAAGGCTGGCACCCAGCACAGCCTGAGCAGAAAAGCCAGAGCAGAGCAAACAGCTGGGTGATCTGTTCTCTGTGTGCTGTGAGGAGCGGGCAAGGCCACTGAACTGCCAGTGGCGTGATGGGTTATGAGCCTGTGGCAGTTGACCTGCTTTTCATCGGGCAGGACAGCTATTTGCTCTGTGGAAAGATGTGCAGCTGTAGTGGATCCTGGAAGAAAGTAAAACTAGGGGCCTCTTCAAACACAGTGTAAAAAAAGAAGCCCCCAAGATTTCTTTCCAGCATTCACTATGAGTCTCTGCTGTCGGCGCACATTCCTCTTGTACGCAGCAAAAGCAGCAGGAGTGTTCGTCGAGTCTGGCAATGCTTCCTGCTGCAGACATGAGCTTTGGAGGGCTGGGCTGTTTATTGAATGGTTAAGGGCTAGATTTTCAAAGCAGCTGAACACCCAGTCAGGCATCGGCTTCTTCGTTCTAGCTCTGAGAACACGAGTTCTGTTTCAACTGCTGCTCTCCTCAGCTCAAAAAGTGTCCGAGTTTTCAAACGAGCTCAACTCCCATTTAGGCCCCTAGCCTTGAATTAGGGATGTGAACCAGTAACCCATTTCCCGATAAGCAATACCCAGCCCCTGACACAGGGGCTGCTCCAGCCCAGCTGGGGTGCCCCCTGCCAGCACCCCTTTAATCAGTTAACCAGTTAACTAATTAAACAGGATTTTACATCCCCTCACTGAACCAAGGCGCTCCTGGGAGAACAGTGGAGGATCCGTTCTCCTCCTCTTCCCACAGTCCAGTTGAGAATGTTGGGAGGAGCTACATGGTTGCTGGGCTCTTCTGAAAATCTGGCTTTTATGACACAATAGCCAAGTAAAAGAGAAGATCGTAGTTTCACAGAACAAGATCTAATGATGAAGGAAAGAGAATAACACAAATATATTTGCATTGAACACCTAATATTATTACAATGATAAACCCTTTGTGCCTAATTTGTGTTGCTTAATTCTATTTATTGCCCCTTCTGAATACGGAAAGTGGAAGATACAAGGCCCACTCTTATGTGACATGACGTTAATTAGTTCTCGCCAAGATTTAATAGTTTCCAGAAAGGACTTGGACTATCTTCAGATGTCTGAACTGTTGTGTTGCCAGTAGATTAATCAGTCACAAGTTGCTGTTCCTGGTAAAGCTGTAATCCATTTCTCTGCTGTAGAATCCTTCCCTTATCTTCTCAACGTCTGAGCAAATTGGTTTTGTGATCACAATTTGCATTGCTTCTACTGTTCAGTATATAAGGGAGCATGTATATTTTTCCTTTCACAGTTCTAGACCTCTGAGGAAGGACCAGCATGCGATTCAAGTCACTTGCAGCCCATTCCAGGAATACCCTAGAAGCAGATAACATAATGTTTAATCGATTAACCAATTAAACAAGATTTTACATCCCTAAATTGTGAGCAGTCCCATTGGCTGGACTGGAACTATTTGCACGAGTAAGAATCATTTGTGAAAATAAGCCTGTTAGAATTAGGTCCTCAAACCTAGATCTTCAAAGCAATTTAAAAATGCCTGAGTTGTAACTAATTTGAGAATAGGGGCTGAAGTCTACAACACAGCTGCAAGAATTTTTTATTAAACAAGTGACATATATTATGTAAGCGTTTTATCTTAGTCTCATTGCTAAATTCTCTTAGAAAAGGCCCTACCAGCAGAGTGTATGTACCATGCTCAGATGTTCTGCGCTAGTGATGCTTATCTGTTTTTGGTATAAATCTGCATCTTGTAGACTTGGAGCATGACTACATCTGGGGCACGGCACGCCTCTAGTCCCCAGGGGGATCCAGAGCTTTGGTGGCATGAACTACAAGGAAGTCCTTTTTTCTTCTTTCATTTACAAAGGCCTGGATACGGCTTATCTCCAGGCCTTTCCCTCTTGGATGATGTACAGAACTGCAGCCGGGGATGGGGAAGGGAGGGAGTCCATACGGTTAGATGATTGGTAGTTGGGGAGCCGTACACACGCCAGCTTCTGAAAAGCTTGGAATTTCCTGTCCGTGGTAACTAGGGAGGGACAAAATCCTAGGGACCAGAACCTCGGTGGCGCAAATAGACACTGCTCCATTGGCATGAGTACAGCTCATTTACACCAGTTGAGGACCTGGCCCTAGGAGTTCAAAGTTCCACAAACTTCTAATAGAAGTTCTGGGTCCCAGTGTTTGACCCCAAGCCTCTCCTTATGCACCAGCCCCTCTACTGGAGCCATGGTTGTGTGAAGAACCTTGACTCTTTCCTTATTCCACTGTTCTCCTCCCCTCTCCCCAGCATCTTTCCTGACCCACATCTCTCATCGTACCTATGATGTCTTCTGGGGGAAGGGGGGCTCAGGGCCATAGAGGCCCCATGGTACAAACACAGGAACAGAGAGCGCCTGCTGCCAGCGGATGAAGCAGACAGGAAGGATTGTTGTCTTCCTTTTGCAGCCAGAGTGGAAGTCTGCTATGGCACCAAGGGAAATGGGAAGTGACTGTCTAGGAAGGAGTCCTGCAGAAAGAGATCTAGGGTCATAGTGGACCACAAGCTAAATATGAGTCAACAGCGTGATACTGTTGCAAAAAAAGCAAACATGATTCTGGGCTGCATTAACAGGAGTGTTGTGAGCAAGACAAGAGAAGTCATTCTTCCGCTCTACTCTGCTCTGATTAGGCCTCAGTTGGAGTATTGTGTCCAGTTCTGGGCACCACATTTCAGGAAAGATGTGGAGAAATTGGAGAAGGTCCAGAGAAGAGCAACAAAACTGATTAAAGGTCTAGAAAACATGATCTGCAAGGGAAGACTGAAAGAACTGGGCTTGTTTAGTTTGGAAAAGAGGAGACTGAGAGGGGACATAACAGCTTTCAGGTACCTAAAAGGGTGTTATGAGGAGGAGAGAAAATTATTCTTCTTGGCGTCTGAGGACAGGACAAGAAGCAATGGGCTTAAACTGCAGCAAGGGAGTTTTAGGTTGGACATTAGGAAAAACTTCTTGCCTGTCAGGGTGGTTAAACACTGGAATAAATTGCCTAGGGGGGTTGTGGAATCTCCATCACTGGAGATATTGAAGAGCAGGTTGGACAGACACCTGTCAGGGATGATCTAGATGGAGCTTGGTCCTGCCGTGAGGGCAGGGGACTGGACTCGATGACTCTCGAGGTCCCTTCCAGTTCTAGTGTTCTGAAAGAAAGGTGTTTTATGACTGGTCAGATTACGGCTGTGTCCAGACTCAGGGGTTTTTTCGGGAAAAGTAGCCTTTTCCCAAAAAAACTTCCCCTGCGTCCAGACTCAAGCCGCGTTCTTTCGAAATTATTTCGAAAGAACGCGGCTTTTCTTTCGATGGCGGTAAACCTCTTTTTACGAGGAAGAACGCCTTCTTTCGAAAGTTCCTCTTTCGAAAGAAGGCGTTCTTCAATGTAAATAGGGCTTCCTCGAAAGAGAGCATCCAGACTCGCTGGGTGCTCTCTTTCGAAAAAGCGGATTGCTCTTTCGAAAGATCTGCCTGCAGTCTAGACGCGATCTTTCGAAAGAGGCTCTTTCGAAAGATGCTTTCGAAAGAGCCTCTTTCGAAAGAAGCCTGCAGTCTAGACATAGCCTACCAGTGAAAAAGAGACTTGAGAGGAGTATTGCAGAGGTAGAAGGGACAACTAAGGCCTTGTCTGCATGGTCAAATCTTTTTGGTATAATCTAAGATGTGAATTTAAACCCATTCAGTGATTTCCATAGGACTCCCCCACCTGTGTAGACGCTGCTATTCCAGGCTAGCTGATATCACATGGAAAGGGGATAAAACTAACCCCCCCAAAATCAGTTATACCGGAGTAAGCGTGTCACCACAGAGGGTTGTACTGCTATCTCTGTGTAACTATATTGGTTAATCTTTTCTGTGTACATATGCCTGGTGGTCTGAAAGTCCAAAGCAGTAGCTTTCAACCTGTGGACCCGGGACCCCAGGGGTCCACAGAGTGTGTTTGAGGTTTCCAAAGGGATCAGCGCCTCCACTGGAATCTTTTTAGGGCCCCACAAATGCAAAAAGGCTCAACACCACTGCGCTAGAGACTAGAGAGCTCACTACTGCCATCTGTTGGTGGAGAGGAAGAAGAGCAGCTAGCGTTGCTTGAGAAGCGCAGGTGGACTGGGGCTTTCTGGGTACGTCTACATGGCACTCTTATTTTGGAATAAGCTATTCTGGAAGAAAAACTCCAAAATAGCTTATGTTGAAATAGCCCGGCTACACTGCAGGGAAGCCTCAACATTAGTTCAAGTCAGACTTCCCGAATGTGGACGTGCTACCTCAATGTAGAGCCCCAAGAGGCACTGGGGAGTAATTACTGTGAATGGCCCTGCGGAGGAGCTATTTCGAAATAGCAGCCGTGGAGCATCCACACGATGGCTATTTCGAAATAGCTATTTCGGATTAGGCGTTATTCCTCGTGGAATAAGGTTTGCAGAAGTCGGAATATGGCGTCCGTCATTTTGAATTTTGTTTCGAAATAATGGAATTGCTGGGTAGACGTTCGGAATAGCGACCCTTATTCCAAAATAATGCTGCTGTGTAGTCACACCCTACGGGAG